ATCTCAATCATATATGTACAATATAAAACTTATTTATGCTTACCTTTTTAAACCATACACGTATGACACAGCGACACATTCGAAGAAGGCAATGATCAGCAAAGGAAAATTTCCGCTAAAGTTGTCGAATAATACGAACACGTAGCTACCAGCACCGTGCGCGAAGCCCATTGATATTATGCAACACACCAGACAAATGCCACCTAACACAAAAGTACTAAATATAAACCCTACATTTAATTTCGTTGTATGTTAACCAGAATGTAATAATACTAACCAGTGAGGATTTCTTTACGCAAATTCGGAAATAGCTTCATGTCCACGATACTTGTGACAACACCCTCCAGAGTACCGAATTGGGAATCAATACCCAAAGTGAACAACATCAGGAAGAATAACACGGACCAGAATTGCGCTCCAGGGAACTGATTGATCGCCTCCGTGAAAATAATGAACGCCAAGCCGGTACCAGATGCCGACTGTAATTGTACATAAAATATGAAATGTTCATCTATGAGAAAAAACGAGAGAAAGAGAGATTGAGATGGCGAGGAAAATAAAAAGAATGATAAGATGATAAGGACAAGAAAGTGTGGGAAGAACTGGGTCAGAAGGTTAAACAGCAGAAATTCAAATTTTCAAGAAAATTGATTCAAAATGAAAAATGAAAAGGAAAATTAAATGAAAAGAACAGAGTATTGGAAACAGAAAGGAGGAAGAAAGAAAGAAAAATGCAGACAATGGAAGATGGGTTAAGGAAAATGTTTGAAAGGGTGAGTAGTGGGACAAGGTGAAGCGACCAGAAAAGGAAAAGAGTGCAATGATATACATGGTCGAGTGATAACTTTGATCACGCGGAATACTTCTATTATTTTTTGAGACAAGAAAAACTTTATGCATAAGGGTTCAATAATATCGAAAGTCTCAATACTCTAGATAGTGATATGTTTCTTGAAGGACGAAAACTCTTCAGAAAAAAGGTGTTCAATATCAGAAATGATCTTAACAATAAATATTTTCGCTTGAATATTAAAATGAATACGTGAAGAAACCAAAAATACTCTGTTGTTACAATTTTGATAAACGCAAGGTATTTCTAGTGTTAACCATTAAGAATAGAATTGACAATGACAGTCATCTATGGACTCGACTGAATAAAATTATAATCCATTAAAAATAAAAATGGATCTCAATCTCCATGACAATATTTATAAAACGAGTTCACGTAGTTTCTCATTACATCACAATCTATTATACTGAAAAGACGTGGCGTTTATTTACTATCTCAGTTATATAAAAACTGATTTATTATTCAATTACAAAACCAACATAAACAAAAATGAAACACGTATATCAAACGATAAACTTACATTATCCAACTCTTTTTCAAGATCACACTCAGGTAGCTCGGGCATGATTAAATTGTCCAAAGTGCCATTTCCCGTTGTAATGTTTAAAAGTGTGCCGGCGATTGGTAATTCGTCTGGTATTTTATTCATCTGCCCAAATACGTTGAGGATAGTGGCATTCCTTTCCTTTAAGCATTGCTCGTAGACCATAGTCGCCTTAAATCCTACAAACACCGTATAAAAGCGTTAGTACGCCTCAATGCATGAACAACGCCTGAAATTTGAATAGTGTAGAGGTAATTACCGATGATAGAAAACACAACGATCCCTGCAAACATCGAAGTGAAACAGTTCGTCAAACTGACCATAATAGCATCCCGGTAGCAGTTATTGTTCACAGGATTGTAAGACGAAAACGCTATCAAACCACCAAACGCCAAGCCAAGCGAAAAAAATATCTGCGTGCCCGCTTCCAACCAAACTACTGGATCTGCTATTTTCCACCACTGAGAAAATTATATTATTATTTGAAAAAGTAGCCTACGCTAATTCTGAAAGTATATTGTACCTATTTAATGAGGACACTATCTATCAGCATCCAATATGACTACGGAATTACACGTTTATAATAATTCAGATAAAGTTTATTTTCAAATCTTCAAATGAAATAAATAACTCTAACAAATTCATTAACACGTTCGCTGCCATTGTCTACTGTGGCGATAAACTTGAAACTAATGATATTATATGAATTGAAGTGTATATATTTCACAAAATGACCAATTCCTAATTTCTTTTCTTTTGCAATTATTGGAAAGGTAACAGATGATTGCCTGAGAAATTATTAAAGAAGTTGATTTAGCACTGCGCAAATTGAATTTTAGATCAATAGAAATCTTAATAGCAACACTCTTAGAGTTTTTATAGAAAAATTTCAGAAAGTTTATTTGACTGTTCGGTAGTTTTAATGTTAACAGTGAAGAGCCACATATATCTTGAATATTATTCATTGTGTTATGATTTTGAATAAAAATTTGTGACACTGGTAGAAAATATGTTAATGAAATACGAATATAATATTCAATATAGTGAAGAATAACTGACTAATATTTTCTAAATGTTTTGTTGTAATTTGTACTGAACACGTATAATATAACAATGTTAATATGAAAATATAGATTTAGAGGTACACTCGAAGGGAAAATATTGGAAATAATGGTGTTCAAGTAATTAACGATGCTTAAAAAGTGAAATATCATATTTAAAAGTCATATTTTGCAAATAATTCCCGTAAAAAGAACACTCATTTACTTTTACAAGGAAATATATTAGAGCAAAATTATATGAATTTTGAAATAATAATTTATTAATAACATTAATAACGCTAAAGTAGATACTCAATTATTGAAAGTTAATAAAACAAAAATGTTCTTAAATAATATTTTCAAAACAGGAATCATAAATAGATTTTGTATAAAAATAATTCAGTATATATACATAAGTAATGATAATACTAGAAACTGATGTGGATATTGTAATTATTTATAATTATTATAAAACCTCTAAAAAAACTAAATTCGTTAATTCTATTATAGAAATAAAAAAACGAAATATTTATAAAATTTTAACTCTGTGGTACAAATGTTATATGCAAACAAAAGTTTTACAATCACTTAAACGTTTTAATCACTAATTTGTGGATTGAAAAAGCTAAAGCGACAGCTTCCTACACTTCTTATAATTAAACCAGAATTTGACATATTGGAATTATAAACATTTTTTTAAATTATTTAGTAACTTCATTTTATAATAATGCGAAAACAATGTTATACAAGTGATTAAATTTCCTTTTAAATAATTAGTAACACGGAATCTCAAACTGTCTACGCGATGACAAAGCAATTGTGCCATTTACACGTGATATAAATAAATTTTAAAACAGATAGAAATATAAAAATGAAATGAATAGTTAATACGTTGCCTTTATGCAGAGATCTACTATATTAAATTGAGCTTTGGAAAGAAGAAAAATAGTCAGGACCATTCCATAGGCAATATATCCATCAAAGTCATATGATAAATTGAAAATATAAATGTTAATACAATACTTAATGCAAGCTAAAAATTTTTAATTTTGAACCGTGATCATCACAATAGTAAATTAACTAATTACGAATCCAGATTATTATATGCTATTAGGAATAAGTGTTCCTTATTGTGTATTATAATTTGAATAAAACTGATTTATTATTTGAATACAAAACTAACATATTAATGAATTATGAATCCAGATTATTATATTCTATTAAGAATATATGTTTCTTACTGTGTACTATGATTTAAACAAAATTGATTTATTTCTCAAATATAAAACCAATAAATTCAACTTAATCTGCATCATCATCTCATTAAGATAATAGTATGCTACTAATTGAAATACATTGTAACGAATATTGTACATTACCTTTGGAGTAAAAAGATGGCGTAGGCCATCGGACATACCCGTCAAAGTGACACCGCGAAAGAAGAAAATAATTAGAACGATGTATGGAAATGTGGCAGTCACGTACACGACCTATAAAAGATATTTAAATTAATAAAGTTGTTTTAACACATTCACTCGACAACGACGCTTATATTTTAAAAACGAGAATTCTCATTTCTCAATCTGAATGTGTTAAGATACTAAATAAAATGTTATATTATATTATATTGTATTATATTATATACTAATTACTAAAACAATTATCGCAATTTTAATGTACATATGTTGAAATATTTTTATATCATTAAAATACTCCGTTTTATAGGAACTCCTTGCCTCATAACAACGTGTAACAATTTTTCTCTTTTTCCAATGAATTATTAACGACGAAGTAGTCATATTGATCACAGTTGAGAAAAAAACCATAGGGCAAGAGGTTAACAAAAATTGTTTGATGCGAATGTGTTAAAACTCGACGCTTCAGCTTCCACGAGTTCTTGCATTATAAAATCGTATATTCGACGTTGAATACTTTAAAAGAATACCTTCCCTGAAGACGCGATTCCCTTGATCATACACATATAAACGAGAATCCAAGCGATCACCAACGCCAGAGCAATTTTCCAATTGAATAGCTCCGGTGTATTGATATCCTTTGATATCATCAGAGTCGTTCGATACCAGAAGTATTGTGTGGGACTACTGACCTGAGGTACAATCATCGGTTGCAACGTAATTGTTTTAATTAATCGGAAAACGAATTAGTCTGACCAAACTCACCACACACTCAGGTTCCGGAGCGTACGAGCCATTTTGGAAGTATACGTTGGGACATTCTGCCCACGGTAACTGTGATTGAAAACTCTGCCACCGAGAACATTTCATTATTAGAGCTATTAGTGGTTAAACTTTTGATGAAAGTTGCAAACTCCCGTAATATCGCAGCGAACGTTAATTCAGCGGTCAACAGATTTACTACCAGCGTTGCCTTTAACCCTTCGCGGTCGAATGCCGTCGTAATGGCGACTTTAAGTTTCGATACTTAAAATCGGAAACTCCAAATGAATAATTTAATTATTCAACTAACAAGAAATTAACATGTGGTTTTTTTCTTTAATATTTAAGACTTCGATGCATTATTCAGATTTCTATGAAAAACAATGTTAGAAGTGTAAAACATTCTCGTTCGCAAAGAGTTAACAGTAGATTTACTGTATCGAAATCAAAACGAACTAACTGGCTTTAATTTTCTTATTTTGTAATTACTGATCTCATAAGAGCGTTAAATATTCGAAATTTTTTAAAGAATTAATAGCCTCACTTAAATAATGTAATGAATATCAGCAGAAATTTGGAAAACGATATGCTTTTATTATTTCTGTAAGAAGTATGTATCAGTCATAGTAAATACTCGGTAGTTTTAGTGTTAATTATCTAATATTTTAGTAGAAAATATTTAAGAAACATTTAAGAATCAAGGAAAAGACTGAAAGAGTTTTAGTTTAGAATTTAGGAATTTAGTACAGTTCAGTGTTTTGAAGGTATAATATTATTTACAATTGATAAGAAATAATTTGATGACTTACTTGAACAAAGTAGAAGAGGCACCAAGCGATAATAGTGTTATAATACAGAGCTACGTTAAAGGAAACTACGGCACTGCTTACTCCTATACCGCCCATATATGGAGAAACCTTTTATAAAAATAATATGTAGGTTGTGAATGGATATTCAAAGAAATTTCGATTGTAAATTGTCATGTTATTCCATGTATCATGTAACAATCACCTGATTCCACACACCAATAGCACCTTTCCGTAATCTTTGGCCAATTGCCAATTCCAGATAAAATATAGGAATACCCTCGATAGCCAGCATCACGAAGTATGGGATTAAAAATGCACCTGTTTTTAAAACCATGATAATAGATAAATAAAACAATATTTACATTAATATGCAATTATGTAATAATTAATGTGTTTCATTCTTCAAAATTCTATATTTTCAGAATATTTTCATCACGAATAACGTCGAAATAGGCTACAGTTATTTATGCAATTTCCCATTTTTAACAATAAAATTTCAAGAATAAATGCGAAATAAAAATACTTTCTTTTTATTGATGATTTTATTAATACATTAAATGCCACGAAAATATTATTCTCTTGTGGAAAAAATAAGTAGGAACAATTATTAATTATTTGACATCACAATCCTTGCATTACACTATTATCCTTTTATTCATGCTATTAAATATTTTTATTCAGTATCGGTCATCTTTCATATTATAATTGTTTTTAAGCAACTCAGAAGTATTGGTCATCGATGACCGACATGGTGTTTAAGTGTTAAACTCCAAAGATCTTGATTCATTTATGAAACTTTTTTGGATGCGCAAAATTTGCAGTTTCGTTGAAGGACAAATGTTTTTTTTTATAGAGAGAATAAAGGGCTAGTTTCTTTGTAACATACCTCCACCATTCTTTTGAGCGAGATATGGAAATCTCCATACATTCCCGAGACCCACTGCATACCCAACAGTTGCTAATAAAAATGTGAGTTTACTATCCCAATTTTCCCGCTCATCCTCACCAGCTTCCGGTCGAAAAGTTGTTTTCCCATCGTTATTAACCAGTTTACTTCCCCCACCCCCGTTTCCTAATTTGTTCTGGAATATTAGCAAATATTCGTAACTGTATACCATGTATAGCAACAAATTTTCATATCAATAATTAATGTTACATCTTTAATGTATAACATATAAAGAGTATCATTAAAAAGAGCAATGCTTCTAATATTATTACAAAATGTAATTATTTTTAGAAATTATTAAAATATTAAACACTTTTTTAATTAGTAGCATTAATAGTAGTATAAAGAATATATAAAGAAATTATTCAATTTTACAATTTGCATGTGCACGACGAATAATCGAATTCAATATTGAAAGTAAAACTATTGAAAATGAAAAGAACAACGTTTTTTTTCCAAACAAGTTTTAATCCAATAATAAGACACCGAAGGATGTAAAAATGAAACATGTTTCAGGTAATTTTTGTTTTTAATTATTTTTTTCAACTTCGCAATGTATTCAGTCACTTGATTGGAAATCAACATAATTGTTTACTTTAAAGTAGTTTTTTCTCTTCCTTTCATTGCATTCTATGCGTAATATAAGTATATAGATATATATGAAGATAAATAAGAAGACAAACCAACGAATAAAAATCTATCTATCTATAAATTTTCATGCAAGATATTGAAAAATGAATTTATGATTTATTTGTATTTTATATTGATTTATACAAACTTTTGAAAAGAAACTCGTATAAAAATGGATATTCAAAACATATTTACCTTTGTGTTAGGACTGGAGTCTTCAAAGGCTGCGTTCGTGGCACCGTAATTGGCAGTAGTGACATTTTTCCTACTCTCCACCACTAATCTCCCCCGCATCTCCTTCATTTCAAGTTTGTCAACGCTTTTTTGGGGCTTTAAATCGCGCGAGCTTTGCCGGCGGACGAGGTGGGCCGTGTTCGCCATTCTTTCTTACTGTAGTAGGACCACTGGTTTCTTTCTTTGCAAGAATCAAACGGAAGTGCCACACGCGCCTATGAACTCCATCCTGCTGAAAATAAAAATTTTAAATAATTATTTATTTATCTTTAGAGTAATCACAGAAGAAAGCAGGACTTCAACAAAGATAAGTTAGTCAATAAAATGTACGAGATCAGTAGCTTCTTAAAGCTAAAATAAACAAAATTTTCATATATTTTCTTCGGAAATAAAAATTAAATTCTTTAAACAGGTATAACCAGTAACCAGTTTAATCCATTACTGTATAACAACGTGTCAGACTGGCGGTGAAAGTTGTAAACATTTAACAAACATAAATACCACTCAATTCTTTTGAACTCGCTTTAAACATTATTCTTCTGTTACTAATAATTATAGTTTACAGCAAAGATAGATAGTTTTTCTCTTTTTTAAATGAAGTAGTAATGTGAAAGTAGTTCTATCAATCATAGTTGAGAAATAAAGGGTAGGACAAGGGGTTAATGTAACTGTATAAAAACTAATTTAAAGTTGCTACATTAAATAAACTGCATACAATAAAGTTATAAACTTAAATGAATTAATTAAAGTATTGTGTTGAAATATTCCTGTCAATAATATCAATATAATACTGCTAATAATAATACACGAATATAATATGCTAATATTAATTTGCTACGTGAAAGTTTTTCATAATCTTATAAAATTCTGAGAATCAAGTTAAATTCGAATTGATCTCCGACAAAAATTTTGGTTATATTTATGATTCGAATTCATACTTTATAATACTATCGTCGAACATTTAAGATCAGTAGTATAACTTGAGTTCATTATAGGATATTTTTATCAAAAATCACATGAAACATTCACCGATCGTGTTTTACTGCGTGTAACACCTAATCGCAAAAAACCACGCTCGCTATTACAGTGACATAAACCTGGTCGTAACTTTTAGATTAAATCTATAGTGAGCACCGAACACGAGGGAAACAAATGTTTCCATAGAAAACACTTTTTCGAAATATATTTCTACAGATAGAATGACTAGTTTTCACAAATCCTTCCAAACAGATTGCGAGCACTGTTTCTCACATAATCTTAATCTTTTCATATGCTCTCTCATTGAAGTCATCAGAATTTGCATAGGAAAAGGTTGCGGAGACATATAGTTATATGTCAGAAGCCTTATTGTCAATTTAACTGAATAAATGCACTATTTATTGTACAATTCCACTTTACAAAATCATTCATCCACTTCTAAAATAAATGTATCGCTAAAACATTCAATGTTTAAATCAACATAATTTCAATAAATATAAAGGAACTTCATATGTAATCACGTAACAATGAGTTTTAAAAAGAAGAATATTCGAAGATAATAGGGGGACTCAAAGTAAACAATAGAAAATAAAACAATGGGTCGATGACTGATCTCTCGCTTAAGCCCTCTTTGTCATCTAAGAAAAGCACTTGGCAGAAACGTCATTACAATTGTAAGCAAAGAAACCGCCACTAGATAGGAAGAGACACGAAAAGAGGGAGAAATGTTTGATTTTCAGCTTTCCTACGTCCCTGACCTCGTATGCGAAGTACCTCGAGAGCAAATCAAGAATCATATAATATTCCGCGAACATAATTCACCGAAATCGTGTACTTTTTCGAAGCATTGTCCACTAGCCACTGATCATTACCCCAATTTTCTGCGTTTCAGCACAATCTCCAAAGAAGAACCGAATTCTTCAAAAACAGAAAGAAATGGCACACGTTAACAGAAAAAAAGTCAATCTTCACGATCAACATCCCCAGAACAATGGGATTCCAAGATGTAATTGTATCGAGCAAATAGTTCCATTAGCCCACAGGATATCGGCTAACGTATTGGGCGGTAATTCTACACAAGTAACATGTACTATAACTACTTTTCCCATTGACGTCACGGGAGCACCGATCGAATAACGTTTTTCATTCATTTCGATTCGGTTTTATACGGGCAAAAAGAAATCTTAAATGATATTTTGGTAACATAACGAATGGCATTTCTCTCGGTGTATCCGTGGGATTGAACGTGATTACGTGGATGGTCGAAGGGATAATTCAAGTGATAGGAGGAATGTTCGTGGACCGGTGTTAAGGATCACGATGCAAAGCGATTTACGCGAACCGACAGCGTAATCGAAGAAAAGAAAACGATGTTTTTTCTTTGTCACGATGTATTGTTTCAAGTTCGTCACTGACCTGCTGGGGTGAAAGAAAGAAAAGCGCGAGGGACTCCTTATGGTACGAGGAGCAGTTAGCTACTGTGGCACCCTCTACTGCGATGGTAACTTTTGAAATCACGATATCCAACGGAATCAATAGCAAGCGCCGGCGCCCCAATGCCTTCGTGTCCTACAGACCGGAATATGCGTGCACCCCGTTCGCCGAGAAATTGGTCCATGATCGACAAACTGTGTGTCGGGACACGGAACGCATTCGCAAAAACTGTGAATATTTATGATGCTGCTATAACGTATTGGGACGATTAACCCCTTTGTTCTATGTTTTCTTTTACAACCTTATTTGGTGAAGGTATATTATCCATTTTAAACTATAGTTGACAAATCTGGATTTGTTTACTTACTTTTTAACACTAAAAGTATCGAGCAATTAAATTGACTTTTCGAAATTCCTCTATAGAAACTCCAAGAACGCATCTATTGAGACTTTAATTAACTTACAAATTTTTTTTCTAATAAATTATTAATATAATTTGCAATATATCTTTATTATTTATATTTTATAAAAGTTGATTATTGTAATAATTGTACAACGTATCTTGTTTTACCGAGATTCAAATTATAAGTGGAAAAATATCGATTGTATTTTTAATTGTATTAATTGTTTACGCAAGATAAATGAACTGGCCATCTCCCCGGTAATTAACATAATCTTCTGCGGTATATAGCTGAATGGCGAGAGAATAATTATAAAAAGTATATAATAGAGTTATGTTATCAATGCTTAACTATGGATTTTAGAATGACATGAAAGCAAGTGACCGGCTTTTTTCTTGAAAATTATAAATAACGTAGGGGTATTTTACCAGCATTCTTTTGTAAAAATTGTATGTGAAGTAAGACTACATTACCATTATTTAAAAAAAAAAATTAGAAATGATCTAGGACTACGTTGCCGGCCTCAAATGTGTTAATAACAGAATTACGTTTCTGTAGATGAAGACAGATCGTAACAGGAATATGATCTATGAGCAGAAGACGATACGAGTATTCATTTAGTACACTGGTTGTTAATAAGATCGATCTTTAGGTTGATAGATGTCAATATACATAACTGTATTGTCTTACGATATTTGGTACTGATACCTTTGTTATGTGGACTGAAGCAGACGAGCTAAGAAAATTAATTTGACGCAAGTTGTAAATTATATAAACATTCCTTTACTTTTATTATAATTTACAATATTCAATAATGTTGATTTTGATATTTAAATTTGGTATAATTACTACCTCTGACATAGTCCATAATATTTGTATTCATTATTACAATATAACTTTACCTGGAAATAACACGAACTATTTCAAAATTATTGTTCGTATATATTTCTGTTAACAAAAATCGAATTGTTTGGTAAGATATAACTTCATAGTAATATTATCTTAATTTAAAATGAAAGAGAAGACACGATGATTGTTAAATAATATATACAACGTAATAGTTACATGGTTTAGAAATCTAGGATTTTATTTTTACGTATAATTGCAAGAGGTACATTGTGGAAGGTTAAGTAGAAGCATTTGACCTTTACGAAAACTGAATCGATACGAACTTATATATATTCTTCCAGTCTATATATACTTGAACATGTCTAAATACGGTGTAACATAAAAAAATTAGGACGGGTCATCAGCCTATTTTCCTGTATAAACGCCTGCCGTGTTACGTAAAGGAATTAATCTTCGGTAAGTGGTTGTTTCCCCTCATTAACAGCTATTCGCGTTACGCATAAATGAGGTGAAGGAGGTAAACCCGCGGTGACAATAATGCAATGATCGTTAATATCGTTTCACGCTAACGCCTATTTCAATTAACAACATGCTTTTATGTTGACGAATAGTGAAAGAATGTTTAAATTCCTAGAGCAGATTAACACTAGAATGACCAGATAGGTCAAACTGACACATTGCTGAATTCTTCTTTAATACAAAGGTTGTTTGTTATTTTTGTGATACTTTATGTTTTTAAGTTTAGATAGTGCTGACACAACACAATAAAAAATGAAGTAATGTTCAAGGAGAATATTTTGGAAAACAATGTAATTAGTTTAAACGTATTTTGCACTAATTTATCGGAGTAAGATAAATTACAGAACACGTACATATAGTACAACACTAAGAACACGTATTTATCGGAAAAATAACAGCCGCTTTTTTGACCAAAGACTTTGACTTTGACTAAAGAAACTAATTTACTAGTACGTAACCTGAATTAAGTGTCAATCGAGATCTGAATAGATGCACTCTTAGAGTTTCCATAGACAAATTTGAGAAAGTCAACTTGACTGCTCAGTAGTTCTAGTGTTAAAGTACTTTACAAACTAATAAACAGTTTACGTGTAGATTTCTGTAAATTCTATTGAAATGAAAGTACGAGCAATTTATTTTCCTCCTTAGAACGTATTTTTCATAAGCGTTCGTTTTATAAGCCAGAGCGACTTGTAAAGGCTTAATTAAATATCTTTGTTCAATGATGTTTCATCGGACAAAATGTTATTTATTGGTTTACAATTTTGGTGCAACGATATTTATTCATTGCCGTCAGTTCCAAACGGGGAAGTATATTCACTGTTTCAGTAGAGAAACACGCCTTCGGTCGGGCAAGTAGTATAACACGCTGTTAGGTCAGACTACACACTACATTTAAGCGGTTTACGCATAATATTAATTTTTAAATAAATATTTACTTACTGATTATTAATTATTATTAATTATTGAATGATCTCTTTTTTGAATAAATCGACGTCTATCATTTCATAATAAAATATAAAATTTCTGTATTCGTTTTAAAACTGTCGTATCATTAAATCGATAACATTAAAAAATTTCATAGCCAGATAGAGGGGAGAATGAAAGTGCATTAAAATCTAAATATAGGCAGTAGACTATTCGACAATATAAAACGGTAGAACATTTTATACCAAATTTCAATCCTCGACGTTAACTAGCGGAATAGCAATAGAGAAAATTGAATGATCCATTTATAGCACCAAAAGATTTAAAAATACAAAAAAAACATGAATTTTTTATTGAATTATAAAATTACTCATTTATATTGCTATATTAAAATATCGACGTCATACATAGTTATTTTAAGACTTCATCAAGAAATTTGTACGTTGTAATACTATTTAAGTTTTGGAACTAGAATTTGAAACAAAAGAAATACATATTAGATTTTTGCACAATCTTTTTAAGTAATTGAATAAGTAAAATAATCTAATTTCCCGTGTTACTAATTTCTTGGACTTCGTAATAGATAGACACCTCGTAAAGAATATTTTGTTCTGATAAACTTGAAAATAATTCATCACAAATTTTCATCTCCTTATCGAGCTATACTCTTTTTGGAATATGGGAAGGACGAATTAAAAATACAACTGACAAAAACATATTTTATTTCATAAATTTCTGCAAAAGATATAGTATCTTATAGACGTTTATTTTATAAAAAAGTTTTATTCAGTTCAATTTGTTTAATGAACAGTCTCTTTTACCAGGAACTGCGTGAAACCTAATATTTCTAAAATATATAATTTAAATTAGTGATAAAAATGGTAATTAACTAGAATTTTAATCAAGGATAAGTACTTACGATCGATCCGTTCTCTCTTATATCTGTCCTCAACGAAGGACTTTATTAAATTCTTTATTATCTCATCATTTTTATAGTTATACTGATTAATATTTGCGTAAATCTGAAGACATCTACATTTTTGGCTAGTTAAGTAAAACCATTTAAAATGTTACTAATTTTAATTACAGTATGTATGCAATTTTAATTCTAAAAATATATTAATATTTAAATTATAATATGTAATATAATTATTAGTAAAGGATACAAGTCCTCATAATATTTTAATCCAACCACCGCCCACTCTAAAAGTAAATTTAATCTCGGTCTATAAGGGGTTCCACTAACTAACTCTTTTATTGTGTCATCGCTCAATGAAACTTTGCTACGGGCGTCTTCCAATTTCTTAAAACGACTCTTCAAACTCTAAAATAATATTTTAATTTAAAAATTCAAAGAAATCAATAAATATAATTTTAATATCACTTTTCTAATAACTTAGTTAAATAAAGAAAAATGCAATCGAATTTTTAAAAAATTACTTGGTTCACATTCTTAAAACGCGTCGAAATATCTAAAAGCAGTGTAATTTCATTGTCGATTCCCATGAGAATTTTATAAATCAATTTTTCGTGTATTTCTTCCATTTTGCAGAGATCTGCATTTACGGTCTCTTCACTGTAACACAATGACATCTGGCGGTAAATTTATGATCAACATTTCACATCATTACGAAACTGTTCGTCGAGTTTCCATTCTAGGCATTTTAATCACACAGCATCTCAGAAGACGAATTTAATGGAAAAGTGGAAAGTACTTAGACGTTACCTGATAACGAGATGAAGTTGTTCTAATTGATTTCTCAAAGCCTGTAGAGGTCGTTTGGCTTCTTCCGATAATTCCTTCCATTTGCAATCAACTTTCTCCAACTGTGAAAAATAATTAATCAAACATTTGTGTAGTTCCGTTGCCATGACTTTCCGAGGTTAATTCATGATACCACATGTTCTTATTTATAGACACTAGAGTGCGCTACTTGTCGTAAACATCATTTTACGGAACATGTGAGACCATATGTTGAAGTGTATGATTTTTATGAGAATTTATAATCTTCAAGTAATTAATGTGAATATTATTATTAAAATATTCTGTTTTTCAATATTTTAATATTTATAAAATTATGAATGTGTTGTATACAATTCGTTAAATATTTTAATATGTTGTCAAATAAAAAACGTTTTTTTACATTTATTCCGAATATTAAATTTAAAATATTCCACTTATATAAAAACAAGGTGCGCAGGAATTAAAGCGAATAAAATTATAATTGAGTAATTAATTTTTTTGCTTTAATTAAATGGGCGTTTCACGCATATTTCAAGGATTTATTTTGAATGTATTTGAGTGAGGGTTTATGAAAGCATAAGTACATTTTGTAAATGTTAATAGAAGTCGAATTATTCCCAACATATCATTTTTAAGTGCTTTTACATTTAATTAATATTCTGTCACTTGATTTTTATATTTATATTAAGAATACTTCATATATTTAATTTGCAGCAGTATCTTTTTACAAACATTGTCATTGACATAACAAGATTTCGTTAGTAATATTTATAAGACGTGACCTAAAAAATTATTCATTAAATAAACATAAAAGTACTACAAAAAATTTAAATAACGGAACAAATAATAAAAGTTTATACTAGAAAATAATAAAATTTTTAAAAAATTTATTCGTAAATATTTCTGGCATTTAATATTATTACGCAGTTGATTTCATTCTAAAATGTGAAATATAATCATATATTTTTCATAGCTTTTTTAAAAGTGCATTTTTATTATGCACTGTCCTATAACAAACTTCTTTCAATTGTGTGAATAATTAATTTAAAAATTTTAAACATTTGATAGCTTGAAGAAAATAAAGAATTGAAAGTTTTAAATTAACTTAGAAAGGATGACAACAAAGTAAAATATGTAAAAAAAAATTTCATATCGTTACATCATTTCGATGTATATGTCATACGTATCCAACACGAAATAACAATTGCATGTTAATTTTTGATACTTTTATGTTTTATAAATTTATCAGAATTTCAGGGGTGAATAATTTAATTTCTCAAAACTACACAAGCATATTTCAATTTATTTGTAATTTCAAACATAACTGTTTTCGTTTCTTTTAACCAATATATTAAAATAAATGAAAAACTACAAAGTACATTTTGAAACTCATATGTATCACATTTTATCAAGCAAAATATAACTTTTAAACTAAAAATCGTTACGTGCTACAACGTTCTTTTCCCAATTCAAAAAATTAACAATCTAAACTTGGCATTTGCTCCTAGAAATAATTTAATAAAACAACCTTTTCAAGAAATAAGAAAATCAAAATTACAAAGAGCGTCATTCTTTCTCTCTCATTACCCATTTTTTACCTGAGTAACTAAATCATATCCACGTTGTCTAGACGTGAACAGAAAAATAGTAAGAAGGGCCCAGAAACGTATATCATACGTCCCTGACGTCGTGCGCTCGTACCCGTTCGTTCGGACAGGGGCAGTTCGGTGGGGAGAACCGAAGAAAACTTTCGACTAGGCTAAACGCGGTGCGCACGCATCTGACAGTATCCCCGTGTGTTCGGTAGAGTTCGGTAACGGTCGGGATAACGTTTGGCCGGTTCGTTCGGTCGAACAAACCGCGAGAGCACAGTATACCGTTGACCAACAACCCTTTCGCGTGCGAGGATGTCTCGTCACGACTAATCACACTCCCCTTTTTCACTCTCTTTCTCTTTCTCTCTTTCTCTCTCTTTATCTTTTTCTCTTATACTTTTTCTTTCTTGTCCCTCTATACACGAATTTCGGCTGCGTGTTATAACAGTGCCAGGGAAGCTCGAACACGTCGCTGGAACTTTCGCACCTACCGATACCTATCGACGTTTCCGCGGCTGACAGTGTGTGACTCTTGCTCGAGCCGTTAAACCGTGCTGCTCTCAGCATCCGTCTCGATCCCGCCCCTTGCCCCCTCGCTCGTTCTCCGTCGCGGAGAAAATCATGGACGAGACGAATGGGAAAATGCGGAACAAGCGCGAGGATGTGGACACTGCATCCCTCAGTGCTGACATCCTGAATCCGTTCGTGCATCGTCTGGAGCTCGACACAACCTACGACAAGCTCAAGGTCAGTAGCTCCCCCAAACCATTTCGCGCACGGGGAATCCCTCGCGGGATCGATGTTCACGCGGCCGATTATTTAAGGGTTGTGTCGATGGCGAGGCGTTTGCGGCGGAGTGGGGTGAGTCGAAGGATTTTAATCGCGGGAGAAACCACTGCCGTGTGCGTCTCTCTGTTCCGGCAGACTGACAACCACGCCGGCATAATGAACTTGAAACGTAGTCTCTTCTCGTGGAAATAGAACGGATTTTGCCGGTGCGTGACTTTCTTCGGTCTTCACGTCACTGGTCTTCTGTGCCGGTTTTCACGTAATGCGCTCGCGACTGGCGTTTGTTTCGGTAGCAGTTTTCATAGTCACAGTATTATTTTAACTCCTTGTGTTATAATAACGTGTGAAAGTCATGGTGAAGATTATAAACGGGATTCAATAAACATAAATATTACCCGAATCTTGTGAATCCAAATTAAATATCATTCTTCTGTTACCAATTATTATACTGTAGAGTAAACGTTGACATTGAGTATACCTAGAATGTTTCTCTTTCTTCCATTGCATCGATCATAGTTGAGAAATAAATCGTAGGCCAAGGAGTTGAACGCAATAAATTACTTTCATAAAATACAAATAAAATTGAAGGAGTAAGTTAATGAGTACACCTTACACCATGCGTTATGATGTTAGATAGAAACACACGTGAGAGTACAGTCCCACCATTTGCAGGGTACTTTTTTATGCGAGTCTTTTTTTACACTGTAAATTATAAAACTGTAGTAACGGTACATGTCTATATAGTTCTTTTGTGCTGGCAGACAGTATTTACGCAATTTTTATTCGTGCAAAATAAAACCACGTGAAACTGATACTCCTCGTAAATGGAGGGACGAATGTAATTTAATTTTCGTTAAGCGAGGTAGAAAATGTTGGACGTCAGAAATTCTTATGTGACGCCGGCCGTAACCGTGTTAAACGTTGTGTCTTGTTTACATGTATATTCGTATAGAATGTTTTCACATTTTCGGTGATCGCATTCAAATGTTAGTTATGTGGTATACGGATGGAGTTTGACGAACGGACTGCTACTGTTTCTACGTTGCTTCTTGCGAAGCGATTATTGCAGCATTTTACGTTTATTTTAATATATTCACGTTGCTCGTGAATAATGGAAAGCACAATAGAAACAGTACTTTATGTAATATAGGGAATTAAATTGCACACTGTGTACATTGTGTTTGCGCAATTTTTTCCTTGATTTGTAATGTATATTTCGGCTGTAATCATTGTTTCGAAATTCATATTCACTGACGATGCAGTCGTGTGCTGTTCGAAGCGATGAAATAGGTTATCTTTTTTCGACGGCATAATATTTTTTAAATGAATTGGAATGTAATGGCTACCGCAAGACTTAAACACATCAATTATAGTGAAAATATGAATAAACAATTTGTACTAACCTAGATAAATTATCGTTTGAAGGCCGTTACGCGTTTTATCTGCCCAATTATGTGTCCATTATTATTTCAAAAGCTCAAAATATTTATTTAAGCAAGTCACAATAATAAGTTTCAAATATTTTACGTTTACCATTATACATTAGAATTTCATTATAGTTTTGTTTAAAAATATATTTCACTTCAAAATATTCCATGCCTCTAATTTTTTAGTATAATACAAATTTTCAATCAACTTTACTATCTAAAGTAATGTAACGTGCAAAATGAATAAAAATGTTTTAAATAACTCTTTGCACTTTGCTGTCGTCGCTGCGGCAACATCGTAAGATAAGTTAATACATCCGTTTTTAATAAAACATAACTTTAAAATGTGTTTTTGATACGTGTTTTTTTGAATGACAAAGCAGAATCTTCAACCTTTCACAGAACCGTGCTCGCACCATTGTAAATACTCATGGAATAGCTGGTAGCTCATTGTAAAAGTGACTCAGAGTTACCGAAAAATCATATTAAAAATTGCTGGGAGTTGCTGAAAAATCATATTAAAACTTGCTCGGAGTGCAAAGGGTGAAAATAAAAATATTCTATGCATTGACAAATATTTGTATATTGTACTCTAAACTATTAAACAGTGTGCATACTGTTACAATGACTATTCTATTCTATACGTATAATATCTTCATCTTAATCCTATGCGGTCGTATTATTTTTATGTAAAAATGAAGTTCATAGCTTGGTTTTAAATTTTAGATACATTTAATATAATAATAGATCTTTATTCCTGTAATTTCATATTTCAATAATTTTCATTCTATATGATGAAAACAGTGAAAGTGTTCTATCGGTCATAGTTCGCCTTACGGAAGGGTTAAGCTTTTGCACTCAAGTGGCGACTCTTAGTAGTCACTGGATTTGATAGAGGAAAATTATAAAGTTTGATATTTCAAATTAATTTTTGTATCATGCATCAGTATGTGAAACACAGAAAGAAAATAGCTTTGTTCTTTAACGCTAGAACTACCGAGCATTTATTGGCGTTGACACTTAATCCTTGTAAAGATTGTAATAATACATTTTGTTCCGATTTCTTCCGATATTCGTTATAGTATTTAAGTGAAACTATTTTTTAATATTAGTCCCGATATTGAATACTCTTAAAATATCTAAAACTAAACCCATTATTTTGACGATTACGGTACTTTGTGTTAATATATGCGTGATTTCCCTTTAAGTTAATCGTAAAATCTGTATCTCATTAGAAAACTATGAATATTTCTAGTGACAGACTTTCGCGTGTAAAGGATTAATACCCGCAGGATTGTCAGGGTGACTGTGTTACCATGTGATTCACGAATGATCACATTCATGGCTTCCCAGAATAATTCGTATAAAATGAGATTTCATGGTCTGTTTCATTTATTTTGCATATCTCCGTATTACCTATTTTTGGTAAATATATTTCGAGAAAAGAACCCACGACGAAGGTGAAAACCGTTAAATCATTATGTTAGACCTACTAAATCGAATCATTTTTTTCTGGCATACTTTTTGCTGGCTTGCTGAAAGCAGCCAAGTTATGCAAATAGATAGAATAAATTACACGTCTTGTTTAAGTTTATACTAACCATCGGATGGCGGAACGTCTGGCGGTCTGATAAAGTTTCTTATCTACAGTGACTCACAAAATTATTGGCATACACAGAAAGTTATAGGTAATAAAAGAACTTTCGATACTTTTGATTCAAAAAACATAATATTTATACTTTGAACTAATAAAACTATTTTAAAAAAACAACAATATTATCATTTATAGTTACGAAAAAATGAAATGTTACAACTCCGTGCGTTAGGTTAGGTCACAAAATATTGGCACACGTAAGCAATTCTATGAAAAACAATTGAACTACCCAATTCCCATCGTCTTATGTTTTTCTTTACTATCCAGAGACTCAGTATAAAACATTATAACGTTCGATTAACATCGGAATAAACATTTTGTAGAATTTAATAAAACAATATACGAAACAGAGTGTTACTATGGTTGGGAAAGGACAAGAAACTACTTTAGAGATAAGAACTATAGTCATTTTTCATTGGAAAAATGGAAAATTATATAGAGATTGGAAATATCGTATATAAAAGTTTTACAACTGTAACAAATATTATTAATAGACTTGTAAACGAAGGTAGAATAGAGAATAAGACTGGTCGAGGAAGGAAGAAGTTGTTAAATTCACGTGATGAACGATTTGTTGTTCGAAAAATCAAAAAGGATCCAAAAATAAGTGCACTTGAAACGTTAAATAAATAAACCTATAGAATATCTTTTTAAGATGTAAGTTATACTGCTTTATGGAATACATATAGTGATAGAAAACATTTTTTCTCAAAATCGTCATCTCTTTATCAAATGAAATTCAGTAATTGTTTTTACATCTTCTTTCCTACATTGTATAGAATAGTAAATTCAATCAAGTATAGCAACGTATTTTTCGCTCCATAAATCATAAGACATTCATATCATTATTTCTTAATGTTGTTGAACAGTTCTCCTGGTTCATGAATTTATTCATATTCAGACATGTTTATTATCATATGCGACATTGATAATGACAACCGGACATCTTCATTGTTGTAATTGATTGGTTTTGTTATTTTATTTTGTATAAGAGTATCTTCAAAAAAAATTATTTTGCGAAAAAATATTTTTTATTGTTGTATGTGTCTTTTGAAATATCGCAACTTTATGCTGAGAAATTTTTTTTGAGAGTGATTATAAATAATGAAAACATTTAGATATTCCCATTTTTCACCTAGAATACTCAGTTATTCAATTATTTACTGTGAATTATTTTATGTAAAAATATCTTGTTAAATGAACGTTCGTTCTTGATTGAGCTAGACCTTATATTGAAAGAATATTACGTGCTCTCATATTTATAGAACAGTCTCATGTATTTTTCTACATATGATTCTTCTATATTTGAACCCTTATTTCATCGATGAATTGATTGTCTCGTTCTCGCTTCGAAGAACTCGATATAATATTCTTAAACAGCTTATGTTCAGTTTTTGTAAACTATACTTACAAATATTTGATATCTGAATCAGTACAAGGAACACACAATAAATGAATGAATGAATTTTTCAATTGTATCAGTTTAGTTTGAAAAGTCTAAATCATTGATGAGTCTGACACAGTCTGAGCTATATCATTTTGTAAATTGTTACCTTAATGTATTAGCAATGCAAAGCAGTATATTATATATTTTGCGAACATATAATGCAAAAATTTCAATAAATTTAAAAGGAAATAATATGTATGTATGTTTAAATAGACTTATTTTAGACTTATCTACTCTTAATGTTTGTTAAACAGTTTACGAGTTGAAATATGTAATGTGCAGGTTTTAATGAAATATTTATTATTTTAGTCATTTTTTAAAGAGTATGGCACTGAAAAGGAAATGACTGAATATTTAAGAGAATTTAGTTGGTTCAGTTTTGTATTCGATTACACAGGTCTATGTAATCATAATCGACAATGAAATAAAA